ATAGTGGCTGTGGGTTTCTTGTTCTTATTACAGTCATTTAGCTTGCGATGAAGAGAGAGTGGAGGAGGCAAAGCTGCTGGTGTCTCACGGTGCAAGTATTCACATTGAGAATAAAGAAGAACTGACCCCACTGAAAGTGGCAAAAGGTGGCCTGGGGGCCATACTTAAAAGAATGGTGGAAGGCTAGTGGGGACTTCTGACTCGAGTCTCTTTCCTGTTGCATTTGTGTTTTAAGACTGCAAACTTCATACTTTGATAGTTCAACTAGGATATCATGTGTGGGCATCAGCATGGTAATAAAATGTGCATCTCTAGCTTTCCTTCAAGTACAGTGCCAAAACAACTGTTTGTACTTCCTGTTAATTAAATAGTTCACTGATTTTAAAGTGTTTTTCAATATCTTGCCGTTTTCTTTCAGTTTACAGTATGGTCTGTATAAATGCGGTCATTCCTTCTGTTTCAGAACCTACTTTAGGATTATTTCTTTCAAGCAACAGGACCAAAAATGTTTTAACCATTTAAAGTCGAATTGATTTTGGAAGCTTATTCTAGAATCTTCGGTTTTTCCCCTAGCCTTTGTGATTTGTGTCCGGTTTTTTGTTTGTTTTTTGTGGGTACTTGATTCTCTTCCTTCAGATGATTCTAAACTACACCTCTCCCTGTATAGAATACAGTTTGCTCAGTGACTTAGATAATTGTATCCATTTTTACTCTTCTTAGTCAAGTGAGCTCTGAGTGTTTGAAGCTTTTCTGTTGTTATCTATCGTTACGCTGTTTCTTTGAACCTTTAAACATACGTATTTGATGAAGTGCACTGGACTGCTTGCAGAATGCAGGCGCAGTTTCAGGGTTGCCTCTGCAAATATACTATTATATAATGGATGGCTCTGGACACTTCTCTGGGATGTACTTGGAATCTTATTTTATTTCCTCTTGCTCCTTCTGTAGATTTCTTTTTCTGTTCTGTTTGACTCCCATGATGTAGCACTGACGCTTGCAGTTTACCATCTTATTTTATAACAGAAGCCTGGTTTAATCTCTATTATAGCAAATCCTGGTATTAAGTTATTAGAAGGCAGAGCTAATGAGACTGAGTGTGAAAAGCAACCTTCTGTTCTGGTGTTGGTAAGATCACTTTTGACACTAGTGGGATAGATTTTCCCTTTCTGAACAAACAATGCTGATGAAATTCTGTGAAATAAAGAACTTTCCTAAACAACAGTCTTTGGTGTTGTAAAACTTTATTAAACTTACATGTAACAAAACCAATATTTTCTAAATAGCTTGTACGCTTGGGAGGTGAACAAGAAGTCAGATGGAACCCTGCCATCCATTACACAGTATGGAAATAGAACACATTTGTTCTTCAGCTGCAGAGAAAGGTTGAAATGGAAGATGACAGTTTCTACAGTTTCACTTGTAGGGATTAAGGTAATGCAATTTATTTTGATAAGCAAGACAGAAACTTACAACCAAACAAATATCTTCACCAAGTACTTTAAGTGTATCCTAGAAAGCAAAATGCAGGTTAAATTTCACTGAGGGTGCCTACTGAAAGGAGGAGCGATAACTTCCCTGCACATGCAGACCTTGCTTGAAGGAGGAACCTGACTTAGTAAATGTTTCTAAAATATTGTGCAGGCACTGCTGAAAACTTGAGTTGAGAAAAGGTGAAGGTAGAACTCTGTGTTCATCCTTGATCTTTGTATAGCAAAAAAAGCCCTGCCACAGCTCTGTAGCTTTGTAAATCCACTTCCCTAGGAGATGGGGGCTTGAATGTTGGCTTAGTATCTGGTTTCCATATTAATGATCCCTGCTCCCTCAGGAGAAGATAAATGGGCCATGCAGCAAAGACTGTCGGAACATCTGAGACAAATTCTGAAAAATGTTTCTGCATCCTGCATAGCTCGGCAGGGCATTTGAGCTATACACCACGGATCAATACATAATTTGGCTTGCGCTTTGCCAAGAGCATCAGTGGAAAGCTAGGAACAGAGCCCCATCCTCTTTAATAAACTATTTTACATGAGCCAAACTTCATAATGTGAACAAACATCTGCCAGAAGGCTTACAAAAATATCTCGATATGTTAAGAAACTCCAAATAAATGTTATTTTCTTCACCTTCCTCCTCACCCTCAGCAATCTGGTTTGCTTTTTATTTTTGCCTTTTTTTTGTTTAAATACTGTCTGTTACACACTGGTGGTTAGAAGTATGAGAGGAATTATTAGTCTAGAACTTGTGTTCTTTCTTTTTATATTAAAGCATTAACATAACTTGAGCAATTTCTACTTTCTTCACAAATGCAAGACCTGTGGTGTTCTAGGAAGATTGTATTAGCTATAGAAGGTAATTTTAACTTCACCAGCATAAGCTCCTATCTTACTGTAGCAAGTTACATAAGGAATACATGCAGAGAAATTTGTGGCGGTGAGATTAAGGAAAGATTATAAAATTATGATAATGACCACATAATATATTCCCCCCTTCAATCACGATAGTGCTGTTGCAGAGATGTGAAAGTGGAAAGCTGTTGCAGTAAGAAAAATGTAACTAAGACACATATATACAGGAGGTGACTTTAGAAGAACTAACACAACTACAGGAGTGTCATGAAGAGAGTTGTTTATATTTTCCCATGAAGGGGCAAGAGTAAAAGAATGCCTGGGAATGTCAGAGAAGAAATTATTTAAAATTAATGCCACTGTCAGACAAGTCATGGGCTGCCTTGGACCAATAATTGATTTAAATTACCTCATTGGGAAACACCTTTGATAAGAAATGGCACTCAAACAGGAGTACGTAGTACTTACTCTTCTCTTGCTGTTTCTGAGCATGCTTAATGATGTAGTTCTGCATGCTTACAAAACTTTGGGTGTGAGTATCAGAAATTTTCAGTAAGCTTCTAAACCTAGATTGAAGGATGTGATTTTGCAGATTTTGCCTAGCACGATTGCCACAAGAGTCAGTAAGAGAGATGCCTGATTAAGAAGAGGCTTCCATGCAGGTCATGACTTAAGGTTTACCCTGGATATTTTGAGGAGAGAGGAATGTGAGGATCCACTGGTAGAATACAGCAGTGTTGGTATTAGTAAGGGTTGGACCCTCGCAGTCTGGCACAAGCAGTTTTTAGCTAAAACAATATTATAAGAACACTGTAAATGCTCTTTTACTCTGGAATAAGGCTAAAAGCTAGGACACACATATCAAAGACAAGTATTTGAAAGCCAGAAAACTGCATAGAAAGGGCAATGAATACAGTTATGCTTAATGATCCAAACTGAATCTTAATTAGGACCTCACACCTTACATCTTTAAATGTTGCCATCTTTTTCCTTTTTTCCTTTTTTCCTTTTTTTGCCCCCCCTTTTTTAGTCTTTTTTTCTTTTTTCTTTTTTTCTTTCTTTTTTTCTTTTTTTTTTTTTCTTTTTTTTGTGGTCACTTTCTTGATAAACATACTTACAGCTGTAGGAACTGAACGTGAAAATTTTAGCACAGATATATCCTTTTATTTTAAAGATGACTGTTGCGTATAACTAATGTTTACAGGCTAGGAACAGTCACCAAAGGATTTATGAACATTAGATCCTATAAAAGATTTAAGTGCCAAAAAGTTCCAGATCTCTGAGCCAGATAGTTTTTCTGCGGTGCGCGAGACTGAAACCAGTGTCTCCTTGTGCCAGTGAGTATCTGCCTCATGTAGTTCAGAAGGGAGCTGCTGAGGCTGTGTGTCTGCATTCATCTGAGCCCCGTGGTCCTTGAGCAATTCCGAAAGTAGGTATCTTTGCCCTTTTGAAGAACTGAGTTTGCTTAACCTTAGACACGAGGCCCAGAGAGAAGAGGTGTCTAGTGATCAGTGTGTACGTGGTTCAATTCCCTTTTCTCCTTCCAAGAGTGCTCATTACTCAGCTGTTGGCTATTGGTGTGGATGCACTACTTACCTTTCCTCTTGATGCTTTCACCTATAGAAAATAGTCAAAGTTACACTGGGCTAAAGAGACCAGAAGAAAAATAGCATGACTGTTGCTTAGTGGCTAGGGCTGTTGCCTGGAAATAGATTTAAGTATCTCAGGCAGAGGAAGCAATCAAGACTAGTGTGTTGTGTAGTAGGCAGTATTGACTTCTGAGTTTTGAAAGCAGCTGTATCTGCATGTCATGAGGCATCTGATACTCTGTGTGCCTGTTATGACAAGCCTTGCAAGGGATTTAGATTTCCGGCTCCTGTTGTCTGGAAAGCAGTCAATGGATGTCTGAACTGGGTACCCGAATGCTAATTCTGTTAAACTGAAAACCAGAACTGCTGAAACACACAACTCTGGAATTCTGGTGCCTTGGGAACTTTAAGGCCGAGAAGGTCACTGTTAACAAAATGTATTCCATGCCAGGCAGCAACAGGGTAAAAGTTTCCAGGATCTTTTTTTTAGCTTTAAGTGGAATTCAGACACACAAGATTTCATTGGTGCAGGTCTTAACATCTGTTTCTGCGCTCTGATGACATTGATGAAACTTCTTTTTACTTCTGACGTGCAAAATCAGATCCTTCAAACACTGCAGTGTGTTGGCCATGATGATTGTTCTTGGTGCACAGGAAACCAGCGCTGTTGGCCGACACTTTCTGGAGAAGACTGCTGTGGTTCAGAACTGTATGGATACATACAGCGTTACTGATAGTTGACTGGAAAGCTCTTCTTTTGTCAAATGCTTCAGCCCATTTCCTAATTAGTTTTGCAAAATAGGTTGGATAAATGAGGATGATAGTCTTTTTATACTTATATTTATGTATAATTATAACCAGATAATAAATGAAATTTGGTTAACTTTAAAGGCCAAATCTTCTGCTATTGCAAAGTGCATGTGTAAAAGACCCTTTTCCATCTCCAGCCCAGTGGTTTGCAATACAAATGCCTGTTTAAATTTTAGTCATGCTTCTATGTTAATTCAATGACAACAATTTTTGCATAAGGGGGTTCAAAGCTGACAAGAAAAACTGTATTAAAACTCTAGGCTATTTCTTCTTTTTCTGCTTCTTGCTTCTCATCTTTTTCAGGCGTTCCAGAAGCTGCTGTTTCATCAGCACTAGGGTGTTCATTTGTTGCGTTGCTTGGTGGAACTGTGGTCACAGGTATGTCTTCTTCATAAGGTACCTGAACATACTCTGCATTGGATTGTTTCTGAGCCATTTCTCTGCAGGAAGACAGGATAAGGATTGTGATTTCATGTGTTGAAATCACATCTACACTAGAGTCTTTCAAAAGAATGAGTCAGTGTAGTTTTGTCGTCTAAATAGTAACCCCCTTATTATTATGATTCTGTTCCAAGAGCACCTGAAAAGGTTACGTCACTGCTGCTAAGACAGAAAGAGTGACAGAATGTTAGATAATAAGACTGATCTGCATCATTGGTTTAAGTGATCCTGTTAGAATAAAATGGATTTTAGTATGTTTAAATGCTAGGCCAGGAAAGCAGAATGGGAAACTGAGTGCTGGCAAACAGTGTCTGAGAAGGGGTAGCAAAACAAGCTGCTTGGTGTGAGCTTTCTGAGAAGTTCCATGCAGATCTGGTGTCCCATTCAAGTGCGTTAAAAATAGAGTGCAGTCTGAAGAGAGCTATGAAAAGGCTGAAATCTAGAAAAATATTTTTAGTAACTAACAGGTATGAATTCCATTTATCTTATCAAAACAGTAATAAGCCAACTCCTGATATTTACGCATTTTCACATGTAAAAAAATATCAGATGCTAGTGGATTAATTCAATGTAGTAAGATTTGTAAGGATCCGAGCACAAAATTAGGTGTTAATGCTACGTCAATTGAAAGCAGAAATCAGGTGCATGAGTGACTGGCCACTGGTCTGGATTAGCAGAATTCTGTATCAGGAAGTCTTAGACCTGTGCTACAGGGAAGTGTCCAGATGGCATACTATCTTTTCTGGCCTCCGCTGTATGTACTCATTTACCATTTAACATCATGGGGCTAAATAAATCTGTATAGCACAAGAGATTATCCCTATTCTGAAGATTTGACAATTTAAGGGAAAAATGAGAAACCAAAGCACAGAGGAAAAGACATTTCAGACCAGGATCAAAATGGACATTCTGGGCTCTGTTATGTTGCCTAAACCTTGTGTCTCCTGCCATTTGAGTTGCCTTAGAGTATCCCAAGTGTGTGTCCTGTAATTTCAAATAGCACTGAACTGAGCCCTCTGTGTTTAAATCCAGTAACGTACAGTCCAGTAAATTTGCTGAGGCAACCCTTAGCTGCTATTCCTTTTTTCAGTTCTTCCACTGGCCATTAACAGTCACCATTAACTTTTAAATATTAAAAACTGTTTTTCCAATTTGCCACTAATAGTTTGTGTTGTTTAAAAACATTTACTTTACTATTTTAGTAGCTTTAATACCTTTACCACTACTGCTAAGTCGTAACTGCCTGTAAATGTAGGGAAGAGGGTAATGGCAACTTCTGTTAATAGAGCAACAGCTTAAAAGTCACACAAAAGCAAATATTCTCACTCTGGAAGTTTTCTCAAAACTTGTATTATTTACCCTTCAAAAAATGTTTAGAGTAATTACATTTTACTTTAGTTCTCGATTATCAGCAGTGCTTTACGGAAATAATTGTCTTAAAATGAAGCAAACAGAAACTCTTACTGCATCTCGTTACTTGGTGACTTCTTATTCTTTGCCTTCTTGGTTAAGACCCAGACGATAATGCAAATGATAGCAGCTGCCAGAATTGCTCCAATAATTGCTCCGGCAACAATACCACTGTCTGAATCTAGAACGAAAAAAAGATTACTTGACTTCAAAAAAACCATTATTATAGCAAACTCCCAAGGAAATTTAGTGGAGAAGCCTTTAGCAGAAAGAAGGCACTGGATTCAAAGAACTAAAAAACTGACTGACAGCTGTATTTCCAGGAGGGAGGCCAAAGATTCTCTAGGAAAGAGCAAACTGTGCTTTTATGACCTTTGCTGCTTCCTTTCTTGTTGGTTAGCTCCCTATCCCAACAAACCTTATGTTTATGCCTGGCTAAGGGAAACATGAGGCTAACACTGGCAATAGTTGAAAGCCTTTGCTCTTCAGTCCTTGCAAACAAATTCTGAAACTCGGGTTGCCTTTATCTCTTGCCTTTCAGCTGAGATGTAAAACGTATGCTCTGATCATTTGCGAGCCCCCAAAACCTTCTGTTTCCACTTCAGTATAGCTTCTAGCTCCAACCTGCATTTTCATTTTATAGAGCACTGAGTAATTGAGTGACCGTTTCAGGGACGTCTCTCGTGGCTGGTTGTTCAACATATGCTTGGCTCTTGTTAAATGTTACTGGTTATGTGAAAAATCTGCATGCAGATACGGTTGACCACTGCTTGAGAACAAGTCAGGATAAGGTATTTTTCCATGACTGCAGTATTTTTAGGTAGTGGTCACATCAACAGTGCCCCAGTCCTTGTACTACCACAGTTCAGTGATGGTTGTAAATTCTAGGGCTGGATGAAATTGCTCTAAACTCCATGTCTGTCAGTTCTCAGTAAAGGCTCTGCAGTCAGAGCCAGGTTCAGCTCCTGCTCCCGGTGGGAAATGAAGCTGGAGATGTCAAATCAGTTGTGTAGGTCAGTGTAAATTCTGGGCATGCCTGGATGAAAATGCTGGAGCTTTCCAAAGCCCGTTCCGTTCTTACTTGAAAAAAAAAAAAAATCTATGCTTTAAGGTTGTTACAGCATTTTCCTGCAAACTGTGCATGTCATATGTCAAATATGTGATTACTTTCATGCATTAAACTTACGGTTTGCAGTTAGGTCAAGCTCACAGGTACTGTTCCCCAGGACGTTGCTGGCTATGCATCGGTAATACCCAGTTTCAAAGGTGGTGAGATTGCCAATGTAAAGAATGCCAGTCTTTGGATCTGTGACAAACAGAGCAGGTACAGATTACCCTTTGTATACTGTAGAGGCAAACGGTTTTCTTTACTTGATAATACTGAGAGCTATTAAGAGATTAGAATCAGGGTTCTCTGATTATTCATTCATTTGGGGGTTTTTATACTCTTTAAATAAAAAACATTTACCTTCCTTGTTACTGCAGTGGATTTTGCAGGAATATATTAGAACATGAGAATTAGGCCCCTGCTCTGCAAACCAGTCTGTCTGATGTTTTACCCACACTGATACTATGGTCAGCGTAACTTCACAAATGAAAACGTAACAGGTACTGAAGATTTTCAGATGGAGGTCTTAGCACCCGAATGACAAATTGACCAAACTTACTCTGAGTACAAGTTCACTCAAAATTCTGAGGGAAGGGAGATGTAAAGGCATAAACATTTCTCCCATTTTAACAATTTAAAGTAATGGCTTTAACGTGCCACACAATTTTTATTAAAACAAATAGAAAAAACATCCTGTGTTTGTGACATCTGTCAGTCGATTTGAATAAGTAAAAATATGATTTTGTGACATTGACTGTCAGAAGAGGAGGGTAAGTTTTAACTGCCCTACGTGATACACGGTGTTTGAAATGGCTGGTACTATGGAATTCCAGATCTTGAACACGGTACGGTAGTCCTATAGTTACGTACTAAGTTGTTGAGTCACAGGCCTGAGGTTATTCTCATCTACTTTGTACCAGTGGTAGGTAGGGTGAGGCAATCCTTCTTCACATTTGCATAAGAGGTAGACTAGATGGCCTTTTTCAGGTGTTCCCTCTATTTTGCAGAAAGGTTTTGACGGTTTGACTGTAAAATAACAATGAGGAGAAAAGATACATTGTGAGTACATATCCAGGGCTGCAAGCATCCACCTCGAGCTCTGGTACTGTGCTGCTGTAAGTAAAGAATTGAACCCCAGCTACAGATTTCTGTCCAAGAGCAGAGTCGTCTTTATGGATCTGACCAAAGGCTCTCCCATGAAGATCTGAGTAATATTAAATATGTGTACGTGGCCTAGCATACATTTTTATTATCTTTTCTTCCATTTGCATACTAAATATTATTATGGCGGTGTTGAGACGAAGACTATCAATTACTTTAATTATAATGGGCCAATTGCTATTCAGCGTACACCATTCTGCCACACAGTAGCATCATTTTCTTTAGGGACACAGCAGGAACTTTGCCACATAAAGGGAGAGGGTCAAGGCCTGATTCTTCAGTACTTTGCAGTTGTGGAGGAAATAAATTAACTACAGTTCTATTAAAAATATATCTGTTTTGATAGCATTTCCTCACTTTGCACACAGGAGAAGATTTTGTCTTAGCTTACACCTATTATTTCTCATTTCCTACCTATAGATATGCTGTTGTGGTTCTTTAGATATTGTCAGTGGAACTATACCAGCAATGAACACAGCCCAATTTTGTGTGCATAAATGAACCAACCTTTCTTGGGTTTCATGTGAAAAGTACGATCTCTTACTCAACTGCTCCAAGATTTACTATTTGTTTAGGGAATTTTAGATGAGAATTAACAGTAGCACTTTGATTCTTCAGGGACTGAGTTTAGGTATGTCTTTTTCTTATCCCTAGCACATAGGCAAGTGATGTTGGAATCATGTTCTCATATGACTTAGATTTGTCACTCTGACCAGGTATGAAGTCTGAATATAAAAGCAATGATTAGATGGGGTTAGGACAAACTTTTATCTTATTAGGAAGTAAAATATCTCATTCCACTGCTTTTCATCCTTTCAGTCCTGCCTGTTCGTGGCTGAACTATTGCTTTCTTCCATCCAAAATAGACTTTGTACTACTTCCCTCCAACACATACTAAGTTTCTAGAGTTTCTGGGAATGGGGGTGAGCCAGAACCCTTGGGCTGTACTGCTGCCTCTCCCTAGATTTATGCAAGTCACCAGGACCAACGTTAGGTAAAATTAGTAAAAGTTTGGTCTTTGCTCGGGGCTGGACTATCCTAAAAGTAATGGCTTCAGTGAGAAGTTGTCACTCCCAGCTAAAATCTTTTTATTTTAATCAAAGTTAGTATCACTTTGTTTTCCAGCAGGAAGATGTAATGAAGTTGGGTAATTCCAGCTACCCACTTACGTGCTTACATTAGGTAGCTTTTTGAGAGCACAGAGTGAGTCGGAAGGCTGCTCATGGGAGAATGAGATTTTGTGCTGTAGGTCAAGCAAGGGTAGCTGCGGAGTGGGTCAGGTCTGCTTTGTCTGGAAGCTAGAGGGCACCCCAGGCTCTGCCTGCCTCCAAAGCCCTTGGAAAAAATCTGCGTCAGTGCATCAGTGAGCCCTCTCTCTGCATCATGGGCCTTGTTTATCACAGTGCTGTTATTCCCTCTGGTCCTATGTATTTTGAGCCGTGAATTCGGTGTTTCATAATAAGGGAAGCAAACTACAATACAGCAGTAGCGAGGTAAGGCACTTACCCAGCACGCTGACAATCACGGATTTTTGACTCTGTCCAACGTCACCCTGTGGGCTGAAAACTTCACAGGTGTAGGAACCAGTGTCTGAGGGCTGCATGTTGGAGACTGTTATTGATGCATTCCCTGGAGCTGTTGCAGCTGTTATCCTGTTCTTAAACTCTCCATAGGAGTAAGACTGGCCTCCTGAGTAATAATAGATCTATGATAAAGAATAAATTGTTAGTTTAATAGCAAGAGATCTTACAGACACTTTTAGTACTCATAATTGGGATATAGTTGATTTCTGATTAAGCCAAGCAATGTCACCCCCTTTCTTGCCCCCTCCCCCAAGAAAGCAGAGGTGAAGACATGGTACATTTGAATATATATTTCTAGTTGTTCTTAAAAGACAAGCTTTTCAGAAAGGGGATTTTTTAATTGTGTAAATGGACAGTAGCTAGTTCTTTGTGGATACTCCAGGCACAGACTGATGCTTTTGCGAAAACAAAGGTGAGACCATTGACCACCATACGACAATTCTGTGAAAAAATACTGTCATGCACAATGAATAGTGGTACTAATTGAAGCACTGATAATTTGTGATATTATTAATAAGCATCTCAGTAGAAGATTGTGACAAGAATGGACCTGTCATTGCAAAAAGTGGATGGCTGCAGAGCTTTCCAAAGACAGAAGCTAGCAAACAGAGAACTGAAATGAATCCACAAGACATAGGTCTAAGCAAACAAGGTGCCTGATCTGTTGGTAGTACATTTGGAAGCAATAAAAATGCAGTACAAGAACACCAGCAGAATCATCACACATGCAGTTAGAGCAACCACGCTGTTCTCCTTGTTTGTATTATCAGGGTCAGAGCCAGCGTCATGGACTGTCTTGGGTTTTTAAGTTTATACCACAGGTGGAAGTCAAAAATAGCTGTTGGTCTGAGTGTTTGGAGGTGCACCTATTTGAGATCAAGAAGTTCCCCTTTTACTAAACAGTAAAAAAAGTTTTGCAGAATTACAGACATGGTGAGGATAAATGTCTTTAAGGAATGCAACATTTCCTCCCAAATAAAAATTTGCTGTTTCTTATTGACTGATTTCACTGACTTCAGTAGCCTCAATTGTACTCTACAGCACTGTGGGAGTAGAATTGGCCTCATAAACTTATAAGCCCAAACCTGTTGTCTGTTGACTGAAAGGAGAGGTAGAATTGTGTTTGTTGTGGAGCCTGCTTGGTTGTCTGAGACGTGGGCCTTGAGTCTGTTCATGAACTGCAGTATCGCATCTGCTCTGGGGTAAATATAATAGTTCTCAAGGAGTACAGGCGCTCTAGTCTAGCTCTGCTGTGAAACCAAGCTCTGAAAGAACAAAGCTAATGTGGAAACCTATGGAACATTAATTATTTTTCTCAGTTGTTAATACTAATGTTTTGTAAAAGTGATAGTATTTGGGATAGGCAGTATGTTCCCCGGTGTTTACATGCACAGGCTCCATTGTCTAGGCAAGGTGAACAGTTCCAGCATACTCAGTCATTTGTTTAAACTGGTGAGAGGTAACCATATAGAATTACAGGTTGGGACCCAAATAGATCTAACATTGTTCCTACTGACGGTATTCCAGAATCAGCACTGTAAATGTATTTATTGAAGTTGGACTGACAGCATGTTTTTTAATGGGAATAGCTGGAAATGCTTGTAGGAAAAAGCTTCACAAACTCCTGTGAAATGCCATTCCACTTGAGTAGTATCAAAACTTCCTTTTGGTCAGAGTTCCCTGCCTTTAGGGCCGCTGCAGATCCCCAGGCAGGAATTATAATTTGCTTTACTTTGCAGATCAACTGATTGCATTTTTGAATTAAGAATATTTATTCTTAATTCTATTTATCCACCCTGGTACAGTGTTGACTGAAGTCTTTAAGTAATGTTATCTGAAAGCCTTTATTAGCTTAAGGCAAGCTACACCCCAAAACTGCTAGAGCACAGCTGGTTTATGCAATGATAAGGCTTTGAAATGAAGGTCAGAACCCCAGACTGCACAGCACCAGCAGCTCTGGTACTGCAGCTTGGCCCCATCTCAAGTACAATTTTGCCTACTTTCCTCCCAGACTTACTCTTTCACTGCCCCAGGATTACAAACGCCAGGTACAATTGATGCAGGGCTCCAAATACTAAAGCTACACTACTGCATTGCCAACGTGGAAAACTGGTGTTGCAGTGAGGAAGCGTAAGGGGCCCAGTGTTAGCGCAGCGGCAGACTAGGTTAGAAAGTCTGCTGAACAGCTGGATAGACTCTCCAGTTTCCATTGTTTGCATGCAATGACATCAGTTTTAAAACTGATTTTAGGCTTTGCAAATGTCTAGAGAGGACCTCTATTGCAAACCTAGAGTCTGGATGCACACCCTCGTATTCCCCAAGGAAGGAGAGTGTGCAAAATAGGGAGTTTGGTTTAAGCAAATCTCTCATCAAAAACCTGATCTACCTGTAATTACAAAAACAGACGGGCCGCACTTGTCTCATTCTACATTTATCCAAGTGTGAGCAACAGCAGAGTGTTACACGCTGTTCCTTGCAAGAGTCCAAAGTTACAAGAACTGTAACTTCTGACTTCGGGCCCCTCTTAAGCTGATGTTCCTATATAGATCTGAGCAGTGATGGGCTGGGTTTGCATCTCCTCTCCATCAATTGCGTCTATTTGAGTGGGATACGGAAATTTTCACTAATGTGAAATTAAGTTGTGCAATGACTTAAATGAAGTAATGTGCGACTTGCAGCGGCATGAGAGGAGAGGCAGGCCCATTATATCCTACTAAAAGGCCTGATTACTGAAAAAAGGGGCTAAATTCTACTCAGTCTACCTTAGAGTGATCTGGGATTTATGTGAGAGTAAACAGCAGAAGCTGCCCACTGAGTGCTAGCTTAGCTATAGCACGTGTTCCTGGGAAAGAGGGCTGGCACTATAATGCGTCTTAAATGCAGTCAGGGCATGCCAGTAAACATTATAGAGGAGCAAGCGCTCCTTGGTATATTTGGTTTGAAGTCAGCGTGAATTACATATCCAGGCCCTCATACAATACACTGAAAAATTAATCCCCTGTGTTCTCTCTTCCTGTCTGAATGCATGCAGAGAAAATATTTTGTGTACACTGTTAAATCTGAGGTAGGTGTCAACACAGCAGAGAATATTTGTTCTCTTCATGGATTTAAACAGGATCTTTCTGGGTTGTTTTTTTCAACTGTGAACATAAAGGCAGTGGAACATCTTAAGGAAATGCATTCCATTCCTCTGCAGGCTCCTGCCTGTTCTCTCTTCTTCTGCTCCTGGATGATACTTATCTCACTAGCTCCGGAGTTTATTGCCTGAAGGAAGGTGGTAAACACCAAAAAGGTTGAGTAATGTTGTGATTAATTACTGAGTGTATATCTTGTCCCAGAGGTATGATTGGATTGTGTACAGAGGAAATGTCACTTAAGAGGAACGTGTTTCAGTTAATTGGCTGTGAATTCGTAGCCCATTTTACACAATACACTCAAAATGGGTATTTTAAACCCTTGTTCAAAGTGGTTTTATGCTGTCCTTGAAAAGCTCATGTTTGTGCCTTTCAGAAAGCTGAAATGAAAATCTTTGCAAAAATGTTTCTGTTCCATTTCAAAAGTAAAAAAAACTTGTTTTCTGTTGACAGTATAGAAGACTTCTTATTTTTGGGCAACTGACAGCTAATGTTCCCTCCTACAGACACACATCTCATTGACATTTCTTTCCATTTTACGTAAAATGTCCCTAAAATGTCTGTATGGGAAAACTATAAATTTAGTCAATGGCAGACTTTTTTTTTTAATTTGACATGATAAATATATTTTTAAATGCAGCATCCTGAATGTAAAAAAACCCGAAAGAAATTTGCTGTGCTTCTCTTGAAAAAATAAGCTTTTTATGTCCTCAGGCAAATCATGAGCAGCTCTAGTGAAGTCGATGATTTACCAGTATAAAAACAATATTGAGGATGCAGTAATGGTCGCTGCTTCTCATTACTAGCTAGTATGCTCATGCAAGTTTTTATATAATGGTGCCTTTTCACATTTCATGGGAGCAGCTGCCTGGGATGACTAATCACACAACTGACAGAAAAAAGAGCGGAGATTCTCTCTCCTAAAAATGTCCCTAATAACTCCACAGTCTGAAAAACCAGTTTCTGCAAAACAGCTAAGTTGCCCAGAAAACGTCTCCCTGACCCTAGAAAGGACTGCAGTTTAGTTGGTTATTCAGCCTGTGGGCCAGGCAGTGCCCAACGCTGCTAATGCCGTCAGCCATCCTTCTCGGCTTTTGAAGGCAGTGGTATAGTTACTTTGCATTTCCACAGTCACAGTTTCCGCTGCGACCAAGAAAAGGATTTGGGCTCACAGACTTCCAGGGCAGTTGAATCAATTATTCGTGTACCTGTTTGGGGGAGCTGGCTTACCAGCAGAACAGGGACTTGGGAGTGATCATACTCGTTTGGAAGAAAATCTTGGTAATCTCAATGCACTCCAGATGCTGGAGACGAGATTGTTTGTCTCCCCAGTTCTGAAGGATCTGGTACATGAAATCACATGTCCTTTTTTTCTCCTTTAGCCTGACTTGTGAGAAGGCTGCACCTCTTCTAGTGTGATGGGGAGGACGGTATTTGCCTGCAGAGGAAGCAGTTGGCAAAGCTGCTGCTGAGTGGAGGATTTTCAAAGGCTGCCAGATGTTTGGCAGACAGTGAGAAACCCACCTACAGGTTTTCTTTATACAACTTCTGTAGAAAGAACTTCTTCCTTAGGGGGTGGAAGTTGTGTGTGAAAAAGCAGGCAGTAAAGTAGAAGAAACATGCCTCCATCTGCTTCCTTTCTTCTTGGGGCAGGACAAATACATACTAGAATTTGCATAAATATGTCTTTCAGATGTCTTTGGATGGACACGTTCGTAACTTCCAGGTCAATATTCCTCCCACTCTCCACCTCCTGGTGTCATTGCATCACATTGCTGTACATGCCTAGTGCGTCTGGATATCAAAATTGTAGGATGAGATGTACGTAAAGATGTGTTACAAAATGTCCCACTTAATCTCCACGGTAGTGTTAATTTCCTGACTGGGGGGCAGTTTCAGGACATGTCTTCCTTTCCAGTACCTGTCATCCCTCCCCCAGCCCCTTCTCACTTTCCCCCACCCGCAGAGGCAAAGCTATAGCATCCTGTTCAGTGACATTTCTCTGGGCTGATGTATTCAGTGTCTGATTCACAGTCTTTCCCTGGAGAGCTGTAAAGCTCAGGCATTCAGAGGGCCCTGTCAGTCATTGGGTTGTTTTATCATTTTCTGTTTGACTTTTTCTCAAGCTACTAGAAAAAGAACCATTAAAGTCTCTTTCTCACCAATAAATGCAAAGGAGGATATTAACAACTTTACTGGTTTGAGACCATGATCTCTTTTTGAATTCTGAGTACAGACAGAATTTATAAAATAACAAGTGAAAAAAGTGTTCATCGCTCCCTTAAGCATCTTACCATCTAATTAGAGAACAAATGCCGCACACTCAAAGTGTTAATTAAAGCCCAAGGCTCAGATTCTGAACTTGGCTGTAGATAAGAAAGCAAATGCTCACGTGTGCATTGGTTTCTTTGACATGTGTCATGTGACTGAGTCTGGCCCCAAATGCCTTTTTTCATCCACAGCTTCTTTTCACACATTTTTGTCAAAACTCTGCTCTGCCAGACAGTAGTAAGGATATTACATCCTGCATTACTGGGATCTTTGCATGGGTAATTGAGGATGTTAGTAATGACTAGAAGCATCTTGTCACAATTGCGCATTGGTAGAAGAAGAAAGGGATGGAGTCAGAAGCCTTTAGAGGATTAATCATTCAGCAGCTTTAACTGGTGCAAAATACTTTTGAGGAGCAGCTCTTTCATGTTCTCACAGTATCATTCTTGTGGCTGAACTATTAGTGAATAATTTCTACAGTGCATCAAGCACAAACATGTTTCCTCATTTTTCGGTGTAACTGCTCTTAAGGAGTTATTATTAGACCTCAATTTACATGGGGTTGTACCCTGGACTTCATGGTGAGACAGGAATCCCACTGCAGCCAAAGAGAGTTTGGAATGGATTATGGCTGGGACGTTGAGCTGACAGCTGAGAGGAAGCCAGTTCAGCAG